AATACAAATAATAACATGATTAAAAAATATATGGTGACCTAAATTATTGAAATATATGTCAAAAACAAAAAGTAATTATTTTAAATTTTTTATTGCATTACATTTTATTTATAGATAAGCATTATTGCTTTATTTCGTAAAAAAAAATATTAGACTTTTAATTTGCACAAAAAAAAATAAAATTACATATTTGAGATTTGTTAAACTTGAGACGACCTCACATAAATTTGCAAGTCATCATATTTTTAGGCAGTCGTATAACTATTTTAAAAGTGAATACAATGCTATAAGTTATCCTAAAAGTTTCCATGGAATCTGAGGGAGGAATTAAGTTTAGGGACAGATGCATGTGGGCAAAGGTAGAGATCATGATTTAAGGGGCAAAGTTTAATTGCAGGAAAGCAAAATAATTTGGACTCAAAGGATTGATATCGCACTTGAAGAACAACTTCTAATTTACAAGGTCACGTCCAAAATCTTTTCACTAAAAATTAATTACTGTTTCTAAAAATAAAAAGTTTAAATGATTTACTAAACTAAACCTACCACTTATTCATATATCAACTTTGATCACTTAAAAATGAATTTTTTACCAAACAGGGCCTTGAAAATTTATTTTTTTTGTTAGTATACTTAAAAATGAATTTTCAGTACACAAAAAATAAATCTTCAAAAAATAAACACTCATCAATGTATTAACAATAAACATTCAGTATACTAATAATAAATTTCATGTCAATATGCTATCTTGTAAGGTGGACAATGATCTATGATATAATGATTGCAAAATAACGTTCCCAAATGCTTTGTCGGGTCGGGGTGTGGGGGACCCTTAGAGTTGGGGTTCAGCCTGGAAGAATGATTGCAAAATAACGCGCCTAACCAAGATTATTGACATATTTAATTGCCATTGTATTGAACTTTTATTTTAAAAAGTCTGGTTATTCACTCCATTTTAAACATTATCTTAAACTATCTCAGCCCGGCCAAACGAAAGACGTGGAAGAATTCTAAACACGTTACCCAATTCACATACAAACATATATAATACTCCATATCTAAATTCCACATTCCATTAAAGGACAAATTTTATTAGCATGATCTACACAATTGTATGGATATGATTATAATGCAAAATGGTGTCATTTATTACCCATTATGTCCAATTAATCATGTTTATGACGTATTCAATTTCATTTTGTTTACGTTGTAGTTTCATTACAGCTTAATTGAAGTATCATTTTAATTCAATCATAGTTTTATTTGACAATATACACTCAATATGTGAGACCTGTTATATATTGAATTTAATTTTATACACATTGTAAATTAATTACAACACTATTAAAGTATAATTCTAATTCAACTACAGTTTCATTGGACAATATACACTCGAATATGTGAGACCTGTTATTCAGTTTCATTTTATACACATAGTAATTTCATTACAGCTCCATTGAAGTATCATTCTAATTCAACTACAATTCACTCAATATGAAAGATATGTTATTTAATTTAATTTTAGCTTCATTTTATCATGAACATATTATAAATATAAAATTAATTAAGCATAACAACTATTATTACTTTTCTATCTACTATACTAATAAGAGCCCAAGAGAGTTAGGCCTATAATGGGTAGAAAAAATGGCGGTCACAGATTTTAATCAAATGAATGGCTCAGATTGATCAGATTTAAATTTTACACTAAAATTTCCTAAAATACCCACACACCGTTACTAATTCCGTTAAAATTTTAAGAATTGCCGTTAGTTCACCGTTAACTTACTCATTGATTTCAATAAAAAAAAAGTCTTAGGTTCGAACCTCATCCCAATCAAAGTTGGCATAATTAGTACTCTATTTTACTCTTATTAAATTATATATAAATAATAATTTAGTAGTTACAACAAAAAATAATACATATGCATTTCTTTAATTTAGAATTGTGTGGCATTCCTTTATTCAAAAAAAATTATTCATTATCAATAAATTAAATAAGAGAAATAATTTTATTAGTTATATTGTCTTTATTTTTCTTCAATATAAAAATTCTTTATATTCAAATTTATTAATTGATTATATTCGCTACATTGTCCTTACAATGTCTTTATTCAGTGCAAAAAAAATATTAATTATCAATAAATTAATTAAAAGAAATATTTTCATTAGTTAAATTGTCTTAATTTTTCTCAAATATAAAAATTTTTACATTCAAATCCATCAATTGATTATATTCACTACATTATCTATTATCTTTTTTGTGCACTATTTTTCTAATTAAATATCAAAGTTATAATACAAAATAATGCTATATATTTATTTACCAAGTATTTTATTAATATCATGAAAAAATTTAAAAAATATAATTAATAAAGCCAACCATATTAACTACTTGAGAGATTTTGTGACAAAGAGAGTATTCAAATCACACAACAAATTGAAGTGAGAACTACCTCGCAATGTCCTTGTTTGACAATCAGCAGTTAGCGGTTAGCGTTAGCGGATTTGACCAGTGAATTTATTTAATTATTAACATTGGGTATAAAAAATGATCGCCAAATTATTAAATCAAATGAATGGTTCATATTGTTCAGGTTTTAATTTTTTTCTTTTAAGATTTTCTAATTTATCCTTAATTATATGATTATCCATTTAACTTTTTCGTTAATTCACCGTTAGTCTAATTCTAATATTAAAGTATAATATAGAATTATAACTACACCGTTAATCTAATTCTAATATTAAAGTCTTAATAGAACTTAACCACAAATCCTAATGTCGGAATCTCCTCAAACAATATTAATATATATTTAATATTTTATGCCCTAATTTTTATTTGTTCTCCCTTGTGTCCCGTATTTAGTTTCAACTATACCTATACAATTATTTTATTGATAATTATAATCAATCTTGACTATATTATCTTGCATCTGTAAACTTAGAATTACCTATTTAACTCGCACGGGCTTAGCTCAATGGTTTAGTGGGTAGTATTTGAGAGAAGAGACCAAGGTTTGAACCTCGGCGGCGGCAGTGCGGGAATTATGTCCAAAGTGGGCAGATTCCTTGTGCGTATCAGCATTTGGCTCTGTCTGCTGAACCATTGAGTCACCGTGATTTACAACTTCCCACAATGCTCTGTCGGGTCGGAGTGTGGGGGGCCCTTGGGATTGGGGACTCAACTTTTGGGAGAAGAATTACCTATTTAAATACGCAAATTCAACATTCAATTATTTATGCATGAACAATTGCAATATAATCCTGCCTTAATATACTTTAAAGTACTTATTTAACAAAAAAGCATTGGACATTATCTCAATCACGCAATACGCGTAAAAAACTAGTCATTAAAATAAACAACAATATTTTAGACCATGGTCCACTGTACAACAATTGCCATAAAAGCCGCCCAAATTGTTAGTTGAAACAGATTTATTTAAGACTATTACCGTATTGTCCAGTCAATAAATAAGAAAAAGAAATCACCACTTTTGTGGCCCAGAATTCGTCGTTCATCACAATAAAAAATTGTAAATAAAAAAGAAAAATACATCGCATCAATTTGTATGGTCCATTATTTTTTATTTGTTATCCATACTTTATTATTATTTGGCATCCAATAACAATTGAATTCGTGTTATCTTATTACAAGTTATATTGTTATAGAATGGGAAAGAGTTCATTATAATTATTTTTATAGATTATTTTAACTAATTATTATTAATTTCAAATCAATGAAATTTTGTTCTTAATTATTTTAAAAATGTTGGTTTTTTAATAAATGCGGAAAACTCGTAATCACTATATGAAAGTGTAGACTGACAAAATTTCGCCTTGTGATTTTAGTCGACAAAGGACTACAATGAAGTAAATCTCGCATTGTGATTCGAATTGGCAAAAGACTGCAATGAGGCAAATTAGTCTAAGTTGTCCATAGATAACTCGTTCAAACCAAGGAGACCAATAGACTGTTCTTGTTGGAGTCAACCTTGTAACTTTGCCGTTACTAAGTCAACCAACTTGATTTTGCTTGCCCAAAAATTTATATATTTTTTTGGGAAAAGGGTCAAATACACCCCTGAACTTTATACAAGAAGTCAATTAGGCCCTTGAACTTTAAAATGTTGCAATTAAACCTATAAACTTGTTATTTTTGTGCATTTAAACCCTACAACAAGTTAATTACCTGTAATAGCAGGTGAGATGCTGATGTGTCATTTTTTTAAAATAATTACTAATAATAAAATAATATAAAATTTAAAAAAAAAAAAAAAAGAGAGGAGAAAATGGCAGCCATGGCTGCCATCTTCTTCTTCTTGCCTGCTAGCCTCCTACGAAGAAGGAGGCAAGAAGAAGATGGCAGGCTATGGTTGCCATCTTCTCTTTTTCTTTAAAAAATAAAATAAAAAAGAGTTCCCTTCGTCTCCACTGGAGACGAAAGAGACTTAAGAAGAAGATGGCAGCCATGGCCATGGCTGCCATCTTCTCTCTTCTTCGTTTTTATTTAAAAAATATAAAATAAAATTTTTCCCGCTCCTTCAGGAAAAAGATGGCAGCGATGGCTGCCATCTTCTCTTTTTTAAAACAAAATTAGTTTCCCAGGCAAGAAGAAGATGGCAGCGATGGCTGCCATCTTCTCTCTTTTTAATTTTTTTTAAATTTTTTAAATAATTTTATATTAATTTATTATTATTATTTATATTAAAAAATGACACGTCAGCATCTCACCTGCTATTACAGGTAACTAATTTGTTATTGGGTCTAAATGCACAAAAGTAACAAGTTCGTAGGTTTAATTGCAACATTTAAAAGTTCAGGGACCTAATTGACTCCTTGTATAAAGTTCAGGGGTGTATTTGACCTTTTTCCCTATTTTTTTTAATTTTAGGAAAAATTTGCCCGCTATTGATGATATCTAAAAGTGTCATTTGGATGAAATTTGTATTTTGACCGTAATCAAGGATAACAAGAAAATAAAATAGCTTTAAGTTGTTCGATTGGTTGAAAAGTATGTAATACATTCTTTGTAATATATAGGAGTAGAATAATGTTACTATCTTGATTTCCCGGTCCCAAGCCGGAACCAAACATGGCTAGCAACTCAGAAGAACACGTCGTAACCATGAATTGGCAAGTCAACAAGGACCGCATAGAGTTGATGCAAAGAAAAATCTCGGAACCGCCGCGACTACTAAGCAAATCCGCCGGCAGAAGCGGTTGCTGCATTTTCCGGGCGCCCCAGAGCTTCGTCGACGTCAACGGCCGATCATATCAGCCGCGCATAGTCTCCATCGGTCCGTACCACCGCGGCAAGCCGCACCTGGAGATGATCCAGGAGCATAAGTGGAGGTTTCTGGGCACGTTGTTGCAGAGGACGGAGAAAATAGGTTTGACCTTAGAGGATTACTTTCAAACTGTCCAAACTCTTGAAATGGAGGCTAGAGAGTGTTATTCCGAGGCTATAAATCTGGAAAGCGATGAGTTTGTGGAGATTTTGGTTCTTGATGGCTGTTTTATCATAGAACTTTTTCGAAAAATTGGAAGAGTGGTTCCCTTTGAGGAAGACGATCCCTTCATATCCATGTCTTGGATATTCCCTTTTCTTTTAAGGGACTTTATTAGGCTTGAGAATCAAATCCCATTTTTCATTCTTCAACGTCTGTTCGAGCTTACAAAAATGTCCGGCGAACAGGCGTCGCTGTCTAGAATCGCCTTGTTCTTCTTCAATCACGCGTTACAGAGACCCGAGGAGATTCTTGATAAGTACGAAAATCTAGCCGGAAAACACTTGCTCGATTTTCTCCGGTCAAGTTTTATGACTTTTATCCCTCCGGTGACCGAAAACCCCCCAAAGTCGCCGAGCCACGTAATCCATTCCATCTCGAAGCTCCGCCGCGCCGGAATCAAGCTGAGGCCGGGGCAGGAAGACAGCTTCCTGGCCATAAAATTCCGGCGGGGTGTAATCTGGATGCCGGCGATCACCGTCGACGACTTCATGGCCGCGTTCTTGCTGAACTGCGTGGCGTACGAGCAGTGCCACGGGGAGTGCAGCAAACACATGACCACGTACGCGACATTATTGGATTACCTAGTAAACACGTACAAGGACGTCGAGTACTTGTCGGACTGCAACATCGTCGAGAATTATTTCGGGACCGATTCGGAGCTGGCGACGTTGATAAACAAACTGGGAAAAGACGTGATGTTCGACATCGATGAGTGCTACCTGGCGCAAGTGTTTGATGAGGTAAACCAGTATTATAACAATAATTGGCACGTTACTTGGGCTGGCTTCAAGTACACATATTTCAACTCGCCATGGTCTTTCATCTCCGCCATGGCGGCCTTTGTTCTTCTGGTTCTGTCCATTGTCCAGACCATATACACCATTTTGGCTTATTATTAGATTAAGCCTATGATTTATGTAATTATGTGGTACACTTTTTTTATTTTTATTCTTTTTGTTGCTGGAATTGGTTCACCCTAAAGCATATAGTGATAGTTGTATAAAAGTGGTGATGGAATGGAGTAGTGTGTGTGAGAGAGTATGTGTACTCTCATACTAGATATTGTCTCATGGAGTGGATCGGACTGGAAAGGAGTTGAATAGTAAGTGGTTAAACACAAGAGTGTAGAGTGTTTCGAAGCTAGTTCGAGAGTGAGTTGCAAGATATCAAGGAACAACTATTTGCAAAGTACAATGGTAAAGCAATTAACTAAGAGAAATTAAATTAAATGTTTGGAGATGTTTTCTATCCTCCCCGAAAATCTCTGAAGAAAAGTGGAGAATGAAAAGTTCTCTAAAAATAATTGCACATGACTATTTATACCCCTCAAATCGCGTTAAAATTAACATTTAATACTATTTATACATCTCTAACCTCTGCCCAGCTGTTTTAATTTCTAGGCCATTTTTCAACTTGTAATTCTGAACTAGCCTTTGTGATTTTCAAAAATATTGTAGTCCTTTGAGTTGTAGCGCACGTTATTTGGTCTAGCTTCAAGTACACATATTTCAACTCGCCATGGTCCTTCATCTCCGCCATGGCCGCCATTGTTCTTCTGCTTCTGTCCATTGTCCAGAGCATATACACCATTTTGGCTTATTATTAGATTAAGACTATGATTTATGTGGTGCACTTTTTTATTTTATTTTATTTTATTTTATTTTTTTAAATTCCACGTATACATTGACATTATTTTGCCAATTGAAGTATGATTGTATGAAGAGTCTAAATTGGAACGTGCAAGGAAGCTTTCAAATATATAATTCTTTGCGTGGTCAAACCATATACGGCGCCGTTTCTTTAAGTAAAGAAACGGCCCGTCGTTAGAGTTAACGGAGTCCGTTTGTTTGGTGTATTAAACATCAACTGACACTACAGTATATCCAAACCGACACTGCAGTTATATCAAAATGATACTGTAGTTATAGTGAAATGAAACTGCAGTGTATATAAACTGAAACTGAATAACATTTCACATATTTGAGTGTATATTATACAATGAAGCTGTAATTATATCAAAATGATCATGTAGTTGTGTTTTAATAAAACTATAGTGTATATAAAATAAAATTAAATAACATTTTCACATATTTGAGTCTATAAATATCGAATGAAACTATAGTTATATCGAAATGAAACTGTAGTTGTGTTCAACTAAAACTGCAGTGTATACAAAATGACACTGAATAACAGAGTTACTTTTTGTAAAAGGGTGCGAAACGGCGGAAATAAACACTGTTAATTTTCATTTAAAAAAAAGACGCGCGGTGCATAATCGATTATGCACCGCGGTGCATAATATAATTTGCCGGAAAAATAACACTTTTTCTTTCTTACACACACATAGTGGGTCAGGTGGGGTTCTAGGTGAGTTTTGTACATAGAACCTGAATCTAACCTGACCCATCGCGGGTTCACTTTTTTACGATGCACTCCCGACCCACCACCCACTACCACCCAAAACCCGATCCAAGCGGGGTGGATTCAGTGGATATCTACAGGACAGATTGAAATTGTCATCCCTACATATGAGAACCACCCTTCACATGAGTACATGATAATCAATATGGTCAATTAAAAAAAACAGATTTATTGATGAGATTAATCAGGGGAATTCAATACTTGCATGTGTATATAACATGTGTTGTGTGCATATCCTATGTTTGCACACAACGCATGCTTAATATGCACATATGACTAATTATGCACATAATACATGCTTCATATGCACAGGCGAATATTGGTTCTCATGTACGTACTCATGTAAACTATGTTTGTGATGATAAGTATGGACTAAGTTGATTCATTCATCTAGAATGATCAATATAATGACAAAAAAATGATGTGGTCAAATTATAATAAATTAAACATGAATTAGCTAGCTTTGTTATTAAATAAAGTAAGCACATAGAAGTTGCGAAATTAAACGTGTTCATCCGGTCACCCACAAAACTTGAAGACTTGTCGTCCTTCAGACTTGGTTCTCAGGCTTTGATTACTTGTCAACCCCTTCAGTTTTGAATTTTGATTATTCTTCACTTTCCCCCTTCCATAGCGGCGCTACTCAAAATAAATACCAAGGCCCCCATCCCCTTCACTCCATATACAAATTATTAATAAACTTGTTCTACTCGATCAGATCAGATCATATCGAAAGCCCATAAGAAACACTACTACTAGATCAGTTCAGATGGCTCCAGAATAATCAAGGAAGCAAGGCCACCACCATGGCAATATTAAACATGCCATCCATGGAGTTATCAAGGAACTCGCCGAAGAAGTCGACGAAAAAGGCCGGGAATCGTTGCAGAAACTCTGGGCCAAATTTGAAAACGAGGAGGAGGTCCAACTTCAAGGAATCATCACACGGATAATGCGTCCAGGTGAGGATGCCGCACCAGATTGGATTGAAAAGTTTCTCAGAAAATTGCATCTTGTTTCTGAAGATACTCATCATCAAGTTGTTTCAATGAAGGATAGAGGTTTGAAAGGAGATGATGATTCATTATATGCAAAGGAAAAGAGTGAGAATAGGCTCCAACGATTCAAAATCAAGACCATCAATGTTGGAGTTGTCAAGGAAGGAGAAGATCATAAATAGCATGCTTGATTACCCATGCTTTATTTTTTTTTTTGGTAAAGAAAGAGAGGCTAGGCCTCAGAAGAAATTATCTAATTCTACGGGTGAGAGCTCCCCCAGCGTCACGAGCTAGATGAATCATCAACCCTTCCATTGGATCGGTGAACACCCAAGTTCCCCAATCTTTAGTTTGTGCCAGATTAGCTAAGAAGTCGGCGCAGCAGTTCCCTTCTCTGAATACATGTGAGAAGAGAATTTCATCAATTTTTTTGGCCATACTCATGCAGTCAATAAGCAAGGTGCCATCATTGGATTCCATATCTTGATTGCCCATCATGAGGTCGACAACCGCCTTAGAGTCCATTTCTACAATCACTCGAGGCACCCCTTTTCAAGGCAGAGTCGTAGACCCTCCCTTAGGCCCCACAATTCTGCCAAGAAGCTATTAGTTCTTCCGATTTTAGTTGTGAACCCCCAAACCAGGTCCCCCTTACCCATGCTTTATGCTTAATTGATCATCATCTTCAATTTTTTTTTTCTTCTTTTAATTAATTATTTTTCATTCTTCTATATATGCTTTTATATGTAAATCTTAATGAGTTATTAAATTACATTCTTAGATGAATTTTTTAATTATTAAAGCATCTTCTGTAATTAAACTCTCAATCCTTTCTTAATGTAATTTCTGTTATAAATATTATATATTATGGACATTATTATATATATGGTAGTAGTTGTAATTGATAGGTTAATACCTTTTATATGTATTGTAATTACTTTATATTTGGTGATATCTTTGTATAAGGATTCTAACTATGAATGAGAAATCACTGGTTTTCCTCCTCACTTTCTGTCTATTCTGAATATTCATACAATACGTTATCAGCACTTTTGCTCTATTTGTGATCTCGAAATTCAGACCAGCGTCTCCGATCGTCACTACTAAAGATGACAAAATTGATCATTTGTATGTTACAAATGATAATATGCGCCCACATACAAATTAAAAGACGTATGTGACATAGACATATTATTATGATTTTATGCATGTGTCTATTGTATGTGTAATAAGTGTGTATAGCATTTCATGAAGATAACTCGAGTCATTTAAGGCAATTTTTGTTTCACGTACAAGTTATGATATATTGTCAATATATTTTATGATATATTATATACTAGTGCATATTACTTAAGTTGATTTGTTTGTCAAGTTTGAGGTTAATAGGTTTAAATTGTGATGGTTATGAGTATGGGTATTAAAGTGGATTGAAACTTGCAGGTCAGTTCAAAACAGTCCCGCGGTGGGATAGGTTAGGGCATAAAATTTTTTATCAGAAAAAACGCGGGCTTAGCGAGCTATGTAAGTCAGCCCACGCGGGCTGCACGCCAACTCATGGGCTTTAAAATAAATAAATTATATATAGGCGAGCTAGCTAGAGTTGAAGAATTCTAACCCACTTCCCAAGTCAACCCGTAGTGGGACGGGATTAATGGGGCGGATTGACACCCTTATTTATGAGTATAGTAGACAAAGACATTGTTTGACTATTAGTGATTAATTAAATTATGTTTGGTATTAGTTGCTAGAAAAAATTATGTTTGGTATTAGTTGCTAGAAGATTGTGTAGTTGGTTCGGCAACTACTAGTATTAAGTAGTGTAGAGAAGTGTTTGTAGATTTGGGATTGTGAAGAACGATAACTAATAAGGACAAGTAAGAAGAATTATTGTAGCGCAGCAAATCGATCACTGCCTGTGAAACACCCTCCAAGAAGAATTATTGTAGCGCAGCAAACCATTCAATGAATTGCGTGCAGCTCTTAATTCAATAATCCTTTTCAAAATATAGCTTCTATTGAAGCTAATCGAGCCAAAATCGTGCTGTGAAATCTAGCAAGCTTGGCGAAACTCGATGCTGAAATGAGACCGTATGAAATTGAAGAGTCCAAACTGAAGCCACTTTTTTTGTTCTTATTCAAGGAAGAAAATGCTCATTCTCGCGGAAGATGGGCACCGGAAGGGCGCAATTCGAGCCGCCGTTATATCACCGGCCAGAAATCCAAAGCTTTTCTGCTAATCAGTGGCCCTGAGATGATATATTTAGGGATTTAGGTTCCACTAAACATGAAAGAAGTTCCACACCAGCATATTACCAGTGACATGTCACATGTCATCCTGATCATCAGCCTCTAAAAAAAAAATTCTAGATGACAAAAAAATTAATGGTAAGTAGATCAAAATATACGTTATGAAAGGTCATGGTAGGGCATGAACAATCTGATATAGTTTATGGTGCGCGATGACACCTTAGTCAAAAAAGAAAAACCTAAGGATGCTCCATGAGTGTTCTAGAAAGACTGCCTTAATTCTTTCATGGAAGGGGGCTAATCCTTCACACATTGTGTGAATTCATGTGGGTGTTATTGTTTACTTTAGTGTCTCTTGTCTAGACTGCGGAGCTTCCAACTCTTGTTGGGACCACTTAACCTTTATGCGGGTCTCGTCTCCATTTTTTTTTTTTTGGCAGCTTGCTTAGCATGGAAGTCCAACTAGAAATATATATATTAATATTTTTTCAAGCCCACCAAGTGCTATTATATTATTCGGTCTAGGGTTGCATACCCAACCTATGAGCTCTTAATGGTCGGGGTACGATCGATACTCTTATCGATGGGTTCCTTGTGAATGGGTTCAGGCTCCCTTCATAATGGGTTCCCTCATTCTGGCCTGTCCATGACTTTGAGTCTCCTTGCTCATATCCTTGTTCCTTCCATCAGTGGTTCCCCCCTCTTAGCTTGAGAAATGCTAAGTCGGGTAGGGAGTGATTTTGCCTAACAGTTCGGGTTAATTAGTGACTGGTTGCTAGGCCCAGTTAAGTCGCGTACCCACACTAATGTTTGACCGCCATTATGCCGATGACACTGATTATCTCCCATGCCAAAGGCTAGACACAAGGTTCCGTGGGGACCTTGGGTTGTTCCACGATGGTAGTGTTTTCTCCGATGGCCATATATAGTGTCAATCGGACCTCTCGAGAAGCGCTCGTTTTGTGACCTGGCCATTTTGACGAATCTCGGGTTTGATTGCATAAAGGGAAACGGTAAAATAGGTAGAAACTAGGAATACATACTTTTCATAGTGATCCCCACAGACGACGCCAATGATGATTTTATCGGGATCGGGTCTACCATAAACCGGCTATGGATGTACATAATGAAGGTAGGAAAATAGTAGTACTATTGCTAGGGGAGCTAGGCCCAAAATGATACATACAAAGCCCGAGAAAATGGGTCAAACTGGCGGCCCAAAGAATACATAAATAATACAAGTACAAGAGTCGAACTTAGGTGAATGGGTTGAGATTATAAACAAGAGACCACATGACTAAAAGGCTTGTATTGCTTAAACTCAGATGCACCAAAGGATGCAAAACACCCCCTTTAACAGTGTTTAAGAACACCCCCCCCCCCCCCCCAAGTCTTGCCAAGTGTAGGGACCTGCTTCATCCTTCATGCCTACCATCCACGTACCCCCATGTCATGCTCCACATCTTCACCCATGTCTCCAGGTTCTCACCTACCTTCTCTATCCCCTTACCCCTCTGCTATACACCCTGGCACCATGCTACCTTCACGGCCTTGCTGGCGGGGACGCTCGACCCAACTGGCCATGCCTTGGCTAAGGAAATCTGGCGGGCTCACTTCGCTAGCCAAACATCCTGTAAGGGTCGTTCATGACTCCCTTCAATCTACTATGCTCACCCCTTTCTTTCGCTTCCTTCCCCACTAGCCACGCCACGTGCCCCCAAATTATTGTATTAGAATATAGGGTACATTTGTAATATACTAAAGGTATATTATTTGTGTACTGAATGTACATTATTTGATAGTATATATAAAATAATGTATTTTTAGTACTAAAATAATGTACCCTCAAATAATGTACTTTTAGTATACAAATAATGTACCTTTAGTATATTAAAAATGTACTTTTTATTTATGGTCCACACAATTGTGTGGACCATGGTCCATGCAATAATGATTGACGTTCCAGGGAGTTCGATAAGCTAACCTCGCTGGCTATGTGCTAGCCGGCAAGGCTGATCACTACCCCCTTCATGGCGCCTGTGTATGTATGTTCATGCATTCATGCCACGATCCCAAATCTGCACCAACCCAAACTACCAACCCTCGCCGGCTGGGGCGCCATCGCTACACTAGGGGGCGCGCCACCCCCGCTAATTACACCATGGTCAGAGAAAGTCGGTGGACCCTTGCATATGCCAAACGCTACCTGACCATGGGAAACCCCGACCCCAAGGCTATGACGGTTTTTGGGGACTTGGGGCTATGTCGCCGGGTGCGCAGCACCTACACTAGCTATGTCGCGAGCAGGAGAGGCCGGCAAGCTCCCGTAGTGACTAAATGCTTGAAAACCGTGGGCAATCCTTGCCCCGTTGCAGTGATAGCTTGCCTTCCTTGTTCTGCTGGTCTAATCAATGTTATCCCTCACTTGGGCCACCCAACTACCTTCCACCATGCTAGCCCATCATGAACATTCCTTCTTGGTTCATCATTATCCTCTGTCACCCCCCACCCCCTTTCTAGCCCATCATGAATTATTCCTTCTTAGGCCACCATTGTCCTCTGCCACTTCCCTTGCTAGCCCATTTTGGATTATTCCCTCTTGGGCCACCATTCTCCTCTATCATCCCCATTGCTGCCCATCATGAATTATTCTTTCTTAGGCCACCATTCTCTTTTGCCACACTCCATGGGCCAACACTTTCCTAATAAAAGGAGCCTTCCTTTATTATTATTATTATTATTATTATTATTATTGAAACACTAAATTGGAAAATATATTCAAATTCAACTATTTTCTAAAGTATAAAGTACAAAATATATTTATAAATTAAATATTAGATATAAATTAATTATATCTTTTCTGAATTTTAGATACTTCCAAATAATGTGCTTGAGAATGTAGCGAGACCTTGGAGGGTGTAGGTCCCGAGCGTGCCATTTTTTTTTTTT